TATCACTTGTACTAATATAACCCTTTATTTTTTTTGTAATTTTCTACATAGTGAGGCACTAAGTGATTAATATATCATGACTTTTGATTTGTTTCCTTCAATTAGCTATTGAATTATAAATGTATTTTAAAAGTTGATAACTTTTGTATTTTTTATCAGTTTTACATATATAATATATCAAATTAATCATCTTTTGATGAATCTTCAATTTGACATCCATATTGTATAGATGAAATAAATAAATTATATTTATCTTTATAATAATAATGAATAATAATATTTATTAAAATTTATTAGAAAAATAAAATTATTTCTCAATTGATATATTTATGTTTAATGTAGTTACTAGTACAACGGCCGTGTATTACACGGTGCTTGCTAATTTTTTCCTAAAATCTAAAATAAGTAGTTAAAATTTAAAATACCTTTTATAAAAATATATATACTATTATATATTTAGTATGACACTTTTTATTTGTATGACCACATGTATTATATTATAATAACTTTTTTAACTTACAACATATAACTATATTAAACATAAATATATCAATTGAGAAATAATTTTATTTTTCTAAAGAATTCTAATAAATATTATTATTTTTTATTATTATAAAGATAAATGTAATTTATTTATTTCATATATATACAATATGGATGTCAAATCGAATATCATTAAAAGATGATTATTTTGATATATTATATATGTAAAACCGATAAGAAATACAAAAGTTATCAACTTTTAAAATACATTTACAATTCAATAGCTAATTGAAGGAAACAAATCAAAAGTCATGATATATTACTCACTTAGTGTCTTAACATATCAAAGAATTAAAGGGTTATATTAATACAAGTGGTATTAAAATACCTAAGTTAGCTAAATAATATTTATAGAATGTCCGAACCTAGATTATTAATTATTAATATATCAATATTATTTGTCCAAACCTAATTACGAAGCATGATTCTTCGCCAAGTAAGATTTCGAAGCACCAGAAGCAGCCACGTAGGCTCAGCGCATTCTGAAATTATATATAGGAGGGAAGAGATATGTTGTAAATTAAAAAAAATTATTACTCCCTCCTATTCATTATAAATGTCGTTTTGACTTTTTTGATTCATCCATTTTGTTATGTATTTAGACATTAATATGTCTAGATACATAACAAAATGGATGAATCACAAAAGTCAAAACGACATTTATAATGAACAGGAGGTAGTATAATATAACACAAGTAAGTTGCACAAATAAAAAATGTCATACTAATTATATAATAATATATATATTTTTATAAAAGGTATTTAAATTTTCAAGTATTTTTTTTCATTAATTTTAGATTTTAAGAAAAAAAATTAACAATCACAAGTGTAATATCATGGAGAATATAATTTTATATTGTCTTATATAATTTTATAATATTTAAATAAATAATATTATTTGTATTGCATCTCGTACATTGCAGGGGTATCAATACTAGTTACAAAGATGGCTGATGCACATATTAACAAAAAAATCAGTATTTAAAATTGCTAGTTGTATATAATACAGACGTTTTTTCCTTTTACTCATAACCAAACAAACAAGAGCAATTTCTATAAAAAAAATAATAAAAAACATGTGGACAAAAAAAAAAAGAAAAAAAAGGAGTGGACATATATCAAAACCACGTATTCTTTGAATACGTTTTCTATGCAATTTGTATAGAAAACGTATTCAAGGAATACGTTTTTTCAGAATTTTTTATAAAAGAAACCGTATTCCTTGAATACGTTTTACAATTAAAAAAGGGATAAAACGTATTCATTAAATACGAGATTTTTATTTTGGTCCACTTTCATTTAATTGTGTCTTTTTTTTTTTTTCCACAACTTAATTTTTTTTTAAATTTTCTGGTAAAAAATTCAAACAAACAAATATCAATAACTTTAGTAAATATTATTTGGCACACGCTCCGCCTTCAATGTTGCGGTTGATCATTTACGCACACACCAATCTTTTGCTTTTTTGTTTGTGATCCAACTCTGTCCTATCCAAATCAAAAATAAAAGTATTATCTTAAGAAATTACTATATTTTTTATTTTATTTTTTCTCTATAATTTCACTGACACAAGGTAACAATATACTCCCTCCTATTGTTTTTAAATGTCATTTTAGTTTTATCAACTACTACCTCCTATTCAAAATAAATGTCGTTTTGACTTTTTTGATTCATCCATTTTGCTATGTATCTAGACATAAAATATGTCTAGATACATAGCAAAATGGATGAATCAAAAAAGTCAAAACGACATTTATTTTGAATAGGAGGGAGTATTTGTTAAATAAATGTCGTTTTGAATCTTTTGTACATATTTTTCCATTATTACATTCATTTAACTAATAAATACATCACGTCTTTTCATAATCACTATTCATCTTTTTCTCAAAACATTCATCTCTATTTTCATTAAATAAGATTATTATTGACAAAAAAAAAATAATCTTAATAGATGTGCAACTTCCCAAAACGACATCTATTTAAAATAGGAGGTAGTATAAAATAAGCATTATTACATATTCTTTTTTTTTTAAAATATATTATTTATCCATTCATATATTCTTAATTGTCAATTTTATCTTACTATTTTATTATTTTTTATCACGTTGATTTTAGAGATTAAGTTTTTATTTTATGTCTGGCCACAAACACAAAATTATCTCATTTTTTAAGAAAATAAATTTTCCAGATTTATTTTATTTTATTTTTTGTAATTTTTTTTTTTTGAAAATATCATATTATATAACGATCGGAGGCTCGCAGCCAAGAATCCAAAGACAACATGATATCTCATATTCTTTTTTTCTTTTGTTACAAAGATATCTCTGATTCAAAGGCTGAAAAAAAAGGCAGTTTGAGAAAATAATGGACAATACAGAAAAAATGTTACTGTTCCGTTATACTATCATCCCGTCAGGTATTTTAACCGTTAGATCATCTATCCTATCTAATTACACGAATATCCAATGGTTGAAATACCCGACAGAATGGTACCGTAGCATTCCTCCTATATATAATTCCCGAATGCGCTGAGCCTACGTGGTTGTTTCTGGTGCTTCGGAATCTTATTTGGAGAAGAATAATGCTTCGTAATTAGGTTTGGACAAATAATATTGATATATTAATAATTAATAATCTAGGTTCGGACATTGCATAAAAATTATTTAGTTAAGTTAGGTATTTTAATATCACTTGTACTAATATAACCCTTTAATTTTTTGTAATTTTTACATAGTGAGACACTAATTGACTAATATATTCCTAACTTTTGATTTATTTCCTTAAATTTTAATATCAATTGTACTGATATAACTCTTTAATTTTTTGTAATTTTACATAGTGAGACACTAAGTGACTAATATATACCCGACTTTTAATTTGCTTCTTTCAATTAGCTATTGAATTGTAAATGTATTTTAAAAATTGATAACTTTTGTATTTCTTATCAGTTTTACATATATAATATATCAAATTAATCACCTTTTGATAATATTCGATTTGATATTCATACTGTATAAATGAAATAAATAAATTATATTTATCTTTATAATAATAAAAACAATAATATTTATTAAAATTCATTAGAAAAATAAAATTATTTCTCAATTGATATATTTATGTTTAATGTAATTATATGTTTTAAGTTAAAAAAATTATTATAATATAACACAGGTAAGTCGCACAAACAAAAAATTTTGTACTTAATATATAATAATATATATATTTTTATAAAAAAAATTAAATTTTCAATTATTTTTTATCATTAATTTTAAAATTTAAAGAAAAAATTAGCATGCACTCGTGTAATACACGGACGTTGTACTAGTATATAATAAAGAGAAAAAAAGAAAAAAAAGAATTTGAAGAGGGGACCGACCGACTTGTGACCCAAACCAGAAATTGGCACATGGTAATTTATCGGGTTTATTTGAATTATTTCTCAATCCGTACATATGACCTCACTGATTACGCAGGCTTTGAGTTTTATAAATTGTACACACCGCTTGTTCCTCAAGATCAACCACCACAAAAATTTCTTAGAACACCTTCAAGAAAATAAATTAATTAATAAACAGAAAATCATAGATCAAAAATGGCGAAAAACACAGAGACAGAGCAGCCGGTGAAGGCCTTCGGATGGGCAGCGAGAGACACTTCTGGGGTTCTTTCTCCTTTCAACTTCTCCAGGAGGTTACACTTCTAACTAACCATGTCTTTCTCCTTTCACTGAACCCTTTTTTTCGGTTCCATTACGGAACCATTCCATCGAGATTTGTAGCCGTTAGATCAACTATCCACGACGATTACATGATGATCTAATGGTTGGTTCCGTAAGGGGACTGTAGCATTTTTGCCCTTTTTTTAATGGGTTTGCGCAAAAAAGTTTCGGACTTGATCAAATCCCTGTAATTATTTCAATGAGATCTGAACTTTATCAATCTGGGTTTTCTTGATTGTTCATGATTTGATCCTTATGTTTAATTTTGGTTTTATTTTCCTGGGTGTGTGTGTGTGTGTGGTGATGCAGGGCCACCGGTGAGAACGATGTGCAGTTCAAAGTATTGTATTGTGGGATTTGCCATTCGGACATTCACATGCTCAAGAATGAGTGGGGTTTCAGTCAGTATCCCATGGTGCCCGGGTATCGATCGCTCTCTCTGTCTCATATTTGTTTATTTGATGAGGCAAACATTTGTTATTAGTTGATATCTATGATCTTTCTTGGCTTTTATGTCTGGATTGGATCTACTTCATGGATTTGTGACTCCTATTGGAGGAGCTAGTGACCCTTTTTTGGTGATATTGTGAGCTGATTCTGTAATAGAAAATCTTGTTAAGCTGCACTGATTTCGATTCTTAGGTTACAATGCTCTTTTTGATCACTCTGTCCCCCCAAAATCAGATAATAATTCTGTTAGTGTTACCCACAAATTTTCTGTGTTTCTATTTAATTACAGGCACGAAATTGTTGGGGAGGTGACCGAAATTGGCAGCAAGGTGAAAAAGGTGAAAGTCGGAGACAAAGTGGGTGTCGGCTGCCTAGTAAGATCCTGCAGGGAATGTGACCAATGCACGGCCGACCTTGAAAATTACTGCCCGAAACTAGTCCTCACTTACGGCTCATTTGATATCGATGGATCCTTCACCCACGGAGGCTACTCCAACATCATGGTTGCCGACGAGCATTTTATCCTCCGCTGGCCTGAAAACCTGCCTCTCGACAAGGGGGCCCCACTTCTTTGCGCGGGCATCACAACCTACAGCCCGCTTAAGTACTTCGGGCTCGACAAGCCCGGGATGAGTATCGGGGTTGCCGGGCTCGGTGGGCTCGGTCACGTGGCTGTGAAGTTTGCCAAGGCCTTTGGGGCTACGGTCACGGTTATAAGCACATCCGAGAGTAAGAAGAAGGAGGCCCTCGAGAATCTTGGTGCAGATAAGTTTCTGGTCAGCCGTGACCCGGAGCAGATGTCGGTATGAATTTAACGGATTTTTTATTTATTTATTTATTTATTTTCATGTTGTCTATAAATAAATTGCGAAATTGGACTAAATTTGCAATGTTTGTGCTCATACCATTGAAAGGGTTTGTGTTCTTGTGGCCACATTTTGTGTATTCTGATTATATGTCCTGAAGTTATTCATTATTATTATTTGGTAGGCTGCGGCAGGGACACTGGACGGTATAATTGATACGATAGCTGCAAATCACGCGATTGTCCCATTTTTAAATCTGTTGAAGCCTCACGGGAAGGTCGTTTTGGTTGGTGCTCCCGAGAAACCACTAGAGCTCCCAGCTACTCCGATCATTGCAGGTTAGTATGCTAATCACCCATTTGATTCGTCTTTTTACTTGTCTACAAATTTTGGATATGAATCTCTGTGGAAAATAATAATGTATAGGGAGGAAATCCGTGATGGGGAGTGCCAACGGGGGACTGAAGGAGGTGCAAGAGATGCTCGATTTTGCTGCGAAGCACGGCATAGCAGCGGATGTTGAGGTCATCTCGGCCGATTATGTGAACAAGGCAATCGAGCGGCTCCATAAGGCTGATGTCAAGTACCGATTTGTGATCGACGTTGGGAAAACCATGAAACCCGAGTGAGGGGGCAGGCCTGCAGCTCAGACTCAGCTGTTGTTATCTTGATTTGCTGATTTGTAGAGAATAAATTGTTGCCAGTTTAAATAATTGTAAGCAGCGAGAGAGTAGTCTAGTGAAAATCGCTGCTTTGCGGTGTGGTGTTTGCAAAGTCGTGTGTATTGTATTGTATTTGAACAACTTTCATCAATTGGTATTACGTGTGTTCAAAAAGTTCTTGTTCAAGTGCTTCTAATGCTCATTATTGTTTGTGTTGATTACCACTTTCTTAATGTTATTTAATATTTTTTTATAGTAAAATATCTAAAAAATAATACTAGTAATCAACAGTAAAAAGCCCTTTTCTCTGCCCTAATCGCGAAAAAAACCAGTCCGTCCATGGATCCTAATCGGAGCCCACCAGATGACTTAAAGGTTGATCCACCGGACCGGAATACTTCTGGCTTCCCCTCTCTTCAGGCGGTTTTCCCTGTGGGAGCGCCTCGGGCGCTTAAACGATCGCGGCGGCAGGATTCCAGCGGTGAGGAGGATGTGGCCCTGGAGTCGGAATCGCCGAGACCTACCGTGCAGCAGCCGAGGCGGAGCTTCAGGGATCTGCTTACCCGGCAACAACCTCATGTTGACATCCCTCCTACGGACGAGGTTGATGATGCCTCGGAGAAAGAGGTTACAGTGGATCGCTCGGGACCCATACCGGATGTTCTGTTGACAAAGCGCTTTTATGATCAGTTATTGCTTTCGTGGCGGAATGTGGTAGTGGTTAAAGTTATGGGTGCGACTTTTTCCCCTCAATTGCTCCATAGCAAACTTGTGAATTTGTGGCCTTTCATGAGCGGGTGTGACATGATCGATTTAGAGAACGGCTATTTTCAAGTTCGTTTCAACACGCACGAGGACGCTGTTCAAGCTCTTGTTGGTGGCCCATGGATTGTCTCTAAACAGTACCAGAAGTTCTATCTCCATGTGCAGCCCTGGAGTGACGAGTTTGATGCCTCTTGCCACCAGGTTAAGTCGTTAGTGACATGGATTCGTCTTCCGGGGATGCCTGTTCATTTATATCACACGAAGGTATTTCGGACGATAGGGGACATTGTGGGACGGGTGATCAAAATTGACCATCAGACCGCGGCACAAGCGCGAGGTAAATACGCTCGTTTGGCGGTTGTTTTGGATTTGTCCAAACCAGTGTGTGCCGGGTTCAATATTCAGGGTAAATTTCAACGAGTTGAGTATGAATTCTTGCCGGAGATTTGTTTCACTTGTGGGTTTTACGGTCACGTAGCTTCCTTGTGTCCGAACCGATCTCCACGGGAGGAGGAGCGGTCTGTACCGGAGGGTGACAAGGTCTCCCATGTCCGGGATAATGCTCGCGTGGAAGTTGCTGGTGGGGACAAGGAGGGTTCTAGCTCTGGCGGGGATGTGTGTGATGGCTCGACTACAGGCTTGTTCGGGCCGTGGCTTTTGGCCAAAACGAATAGCCGGTCGTCTGGGCCTCGGAAGAGTGATGTGGGGAACGCTTCACGGCATACTGATTCTAAGGCGGGTTACGGGTCTCGTTTTAGAGCATTGGATGGGGAGTTACGGGAGGAGGATCGGGAGGCCGGGTTTACACCGGGGGTTTTTGCTGCAGCTGCCGGAAATTCGGGGGGTGCGACGGGGACACGGTCGAAAGCTAAGAGTGGCCATGGCGAGTGGCAAACGGTAGTGGGGAGAAAATCAAAGAAAGCTGGGTTGGGTCCGAAGCAGCAGCCTCGGGTTATCGTCGAGACATCGAGTATGGGTCCAACGAAGGCGACCGGGTATGTTGGGGATTTCTCGGGAGTGGGTGGGGAGCCTCAAGTTGAGGCAGCGCATCACAAGGGTAAGGGGCCTGTGAGTCCCGGTCCGGTCTGTTTGGTCTCGGCTGGGACCCAACCGTTACATCCGCCATCATCCTTAGTTACTCCGGGGGTCTCTACTTTGGATCCTATTAAGCACCGAGTGGTCCACGTGGTCGACTTGCCGGCTTCGGGTGGGCCGGAGGGGGAGGTGGAGTTGTTGGACCCGGGTGATTCTGCCATGGTTGACGACAGGCCGCCGGGGTTTGATAATGCGTGTGAGGGCACGGATTTGCATGGAGATACGGACATGCGAGCGTCAGATGTGGGGACGGAGGAGGAAGTGGGGACCCAGGTCCCTAGTTCGTTTTGATGGCTATTGCCGTTTGCTTTTTCTCATGTGTGTCCTTATGAATATTATATCTTGGAACGTGCGGGGGACTGCGTCTGACGCCTTTAGGCGGGCCTTTATCACTTTACAACAACAGTACAAACCTGACGTTTTTGCCCTTTTGGAGCCGCGTGTTAGTGGTGTGGGGGCAGATAATTTTATTAAGCGAAGTGGCTTGGACAGATCCTTTCGGGTTGAAGCCCGCGGCTTCTCAGGGGGGATTTGGATATTATGGAACGAGGCTGTGGATTTGCAGGTGGTAGAGTGTAGTCGCCAGCATGTCCATGCG